CAAACTTACTTAGGAGTCTGGAATATCCTCATGCAATTAAAATGTGCGCGTATTTGGCGCCTGGATCCATATCATCGTGGAGGCATTTGTGATTTTTAGTAAATGTAGGAACTGTATGGAAACCTGTCACGCCAGCTTTGCCTTCGAAAAGGATACTTTTTTCGTCCCTCAAAGTTATTGTAGTTCCACGTTCCTACAGAACTCATCGTATTTAGACGCACGAATCTGCTTCATTCCCGGATGAAATTCAAGCACGGTCCTACATCGTTCGGGTAGTGGGACTCGCAATCAAGCATGGGGGTTGAACTAATAAATTTTAAGCCTGCCAGGCTGTAATCGTTTGTGTTTATCGTCAGCAATGCGGCATCATTTGGGAGACTTGAACATATCACAGTCATGCACTGAAACGTGATTGCCTGGGCCGAAAATTTCGTGGGGCGCTCCAAATTGGTGCCGAATAGAGCATTCTGAAGGCATCAAGTGAAGTTAGAATATTGTGTTTTTAATATCTATATGAATATAGTTAAATAAAACTGGGACCTACGCAAGCCCCCTTAACCAAACAGCACCCAAAATATTTAAACGTCCTCAGAAGAACGAGGCTAGGTTTCAGCTGTAAAGCCAGCCCCCGTTCGATGCCAAAATTCTGTTGTACTGTGCGACGCTTGCTACGGAAACTGTGGCGTGTGATGGTGCCAGTGGGAATGGGCCACATGTTGTTAGGTATCCAAGCGAACGTCAGTTTAGTGGCCGACGTCTTTCGTGCGTTCTGAGTAGACAACTTGGTTGGCGTACTCCAGGAGCGGTCTGACGTAGGCCCCATAGAGTATTTGGAAGTCCATGCGAGTAATACGGGAGAAGGTGCATCGGATCATCCGTAAAATGGCGAATGTCTTTTGGGCCGATTCCCCATTGTGCAGTGAGAAGGACAAGTTTGAGGAGACCCAGATGCCCAAATCCTTTTTGGCACCCATCCTCATGATGTTTTCTGGTCACTTTTCACCATGCATAACAAAGGCATTCGCTGAATCCCCTCCAAACGACATATGGACGCACTTTTCATCACTCAGAGGAGGGTGCCAGTCCAACGACCACTGCTTGGCAGCGTCTACATCCATTTGGGGGGCACTGGCATTGGAACTCCAGGATTTCAAGTCGTCCGCAAAAAGTAGACATGGACTTGCAGGAACATCTGGGGGGTGTTTGACGTAGATCAGATACAGGAGTGGTCCCAGGACGGCGCCTTGAAGAACTCCAATGGAGGCCGGCGCTGGAGAAGAGTAGGTCTTATACCGGTTGGGTACAAGTGAAGGAACGTAATGGAGCATGTCTAACTTTACGATAAGATAGGGATGCAGAGCCTACCATTGCTAATTAGTAGTCTCCGGCTTCCCAGATTAGCGTAGACCCGTTGAACCTACTGGCCTGATGGTCAATTGAACCTAACGAGGAATTACTGAGAGCGGTACGTTCGAAATCGGTTTCGTTTTTCCCTCGTGCAAATTCGTGAAAATGTTTTTCGTTGTTCAATGTATTTGCAGAGTACACACGAATTTTATTACTCTAACAAAACATTTGAGTGATAACCCTTTATATTTTGCATTTTACATCTTACATTTTACATCTAGTCCGAAACATGACGTCAATTCATACCGATCGCCCTCCGCATCCATTGGTAGACCACAATAGATGTGGGCGGAATGGCTGCCCGTCGAACGTCAAACGCGGCATGCAATGCCACGCCTGCAAGGCCTGGTGGCATTTCAAATGCACGGGTTTACAGGACGACCAAATAAGCCGACTAGCCAACTCTCCTGACCCGTTTGTCTGTGCCAGCTGCCTCTATGTCAAGGGTGCAATGCATACCGCAGCGAAGAGAAGAGTCCCCCGAAACGGTACCCAATCCCCAGTGCAGATGCCGAAAGACCACTGCCAGTGTTCCGCTTTAATCGGGATACTCGACGCGAAATTAGAGCGTCTTTCGAAGGCACTGGAGGACTCAGGCGCTAAGAATGCAGCGACCTGGGCGAAAGTCGACAAGGAACTTTCCTCGCTGAACCAATACCTCGCGATGTCCATACCGGGTCCCATGGCTGCGAAGAAAGTCATACAACTTTCTGACGCAGCTATAAAAACCGCCACAGCGTCTCTAGTGGACAGACGCCTAAGGGAAAACAGGCTGATAATCTGGGGATCGTTCTCCGGAAAAATCACGCCAGCGAAGCTGGCACAGTCGATCCTCAGCAAGCCTGATCAATCACTCCACGCAGAATGGCTACGCCAAGAGGGAAGTAAGCGAACCCTTGGACTTCTAGTTACTCTTTCTTCCCCGCCCGACGTACAGGCAATCTTGGAGCGGGCTGGCAGCATTCAAAAGGCCAACCCAATGATCAGGCGCCTATCTGAGAATCGTCCTCTAGACGCGCGCAAGCTTGGTCACAACAGGTCAGGAGTGGAAGCACGAAACAGGCTTCCACGGGCACTAAACCAGACGACCCCAAACTCATGACCAAGCCGATTGTGGTCATATCCCCCCTGTGCTCCCGAAAGCAGGCCGATGAAACCAGCGGTTCTCCGGACAGCAGTTTTTATTCGACCACCACAGGCCTCTCGCCCACCAAAGGCAGGGAC